TCCTAGCTGTGGTCCTGTGCGGTATATGAAGTCAGGTTGTGGGCTAGAGACCCATTTTGGAGGTGGCAGCAGAGGATCTTGCTGCTGGTGAGATCTAAGGGATGATGATGGTTAATTTCCATGACGTTGGCCATGTGCCCTGTGTTCAGGTTCTCTGTTGCTTTTTCCCGTGCACAAGGTCGCCTTCCATCAGAAGGAGATGAGCTCGTGAACGTGGCCCGTTACGGCGGTCAGCGGGCTCGGCCCTGGGTGGCAGCCTCAGCCACCTGTTATTCATCTGTTTCCCATCAAAACAGCAAAAAAAAACAAAAAACAAAAAAAAAAAAACAATGCATTCACTTGTATAGATGCCATTTAACTTTTATTAATACTTTCAGTTGACAGATCATGAGTGCATATATTCATGGGGTGGAATTGTCAACTTTGTACGTCTGTATATACATACGGTGTGAAAAAGGTTACATCAAGCTAATTTGCCCCCTCCCCTTTGCTTTCCTATGGTAAGAATGAAACTCGGTCTCTCAGTTATTTTGAAGCATGAGTTACACAGCACGTGATTATTACTGGCCACTGTCACCCACTGAGCGGCAGCTGCATGGCCGTCCCCTAAATGACGCCTGTGTACCCATCTGATCTGCAGTGGGAGAACAGATAGGATTCTCTCCTCAGTTCTCTTTCCCAGATGAACAAACCCACGTTCAGAGATCTGAACGACTTAACCGGAGTCACCGAGTGTAAGGCGACAGTGACAGCGTGAGAGTTCCGAGCCACGGGACTCCGGGGCCTCTGTGTTTTCCTTCCACATGGAAGAGTCTCCCAAGGAGGTGCACTTGGCTCACTGGAACCAGGGGAAGGACTTGGGGTTCTGTGCACGGACATGGAAAAGTCAGTGAACAGACTGAACAAATGAACCAATCTTGGACACTTTAACATACAAGGTTAATGACTCATATCAGAGTGGTACACAAGGGCAAACACAGGTTTGGGGATCAATACCAACCTTGCTCCTCGGTAACTGGCAGGTCCTTCCTACAGGTGGGCAAGGACAATGCCTAACTACCCCAGCTTGCTGTCCCCTCCCTCTTCTGTCACGGCCGTGGCTTCCCCAGACCTTAGCCTGGCACCGAAGCAACTGGAGGCTCCCTGCAGGCGCCGTGTCTCGTGCCATCTTCATTCCTTCCTGTCCCCGGAACACGGCACCTTCTGGAGTTGCCCCCCGTCGCTCTCTCTGGAGGTCATAGACACCCACTTCCTGTAGCTCTGACCTTCAAGCTGAGGGTTTCTGCTCTGATGACCCATCGTTTAGCAGAACAGACATCTAGAACCTCTGTTATTTTCATCTCTGCCTTGGATGCGGTTGTCTAGAAAACTCAACTGCAGGAGACACTGCTGCAGCAGTTTTTGGAGACAAAACTCCAGCTGCAGGAGGCACTGCCCTATGCAGCCTCTGCCATTCAGCACCTGGCAGGGAAGCCCCAGGCAGCAGAACTTCTGCCTTAAGCGCTCCTCAGCATCGTGGGGGCTGGTGCCCTGTTTTCTTCAGTAGCTTTGTGTTTCTGTGTGGACACATCTCGCCAGCCCCAAAGCTGACTTAAGGAAGCTGGCAGGCCTGTGCCTTGCAGTGGACTTACTTTAGTGGTGCTGGCCACAAGCTTTGCCTTTGGAGAGGGCCTCTCGCACTTATGCGTGACCACTTACTCTCGGCTCATGCAGAGCAATAGGTTCAGGGCACCTGCTCTCCAGTTCTCAGCACACTGAGTGCAGCACAGGCCGGGTGTGCTGAGAGAGACCTGGTAGCAGAGAGAAGCTGGGAGAGGCTGGGTAGCCAAGGAGGATGCAGGAAAGTTATGAAAGACAGGCCAGGGTTGGTCACCTGGAGGCTGGGCCACCCTCACCCTGGGCCACCCAGACGGCTCCTGAGACCAAGACAGTTTCCCAGGAGTGGGGTGCAGCTGCCTATGCGCCCGGGAGTGGGAACCCCAAGTGCAAAACTCATCCCCTGTTGTTCAGTCTCTCGGTGTTTAACGTGACAAAGACAATGAGCTCTTGTTTAGAAATGTTTTGGCTTAAAACACTGATAGTTTTCCAAGGAAAATAAAGTCATCTGTAAAGTTCTGCTTTGCACAATTCTACTCCCAGACAGTTCCGAGCAGTCAAAGGATGTGTGTGTGTGAGAGAGTTTGTGTGTTTGCATTTGACTGATACCGATAATTTGTATGTTGACAATCACTTCTATTAATGGAAGTCCTTTCGTTGATCCTGTTGAAGGATGTGAATGAAGAAAACAGCAACTCCATGTGACTCGAAAGCATCTGGGGTGTAAGGCAGCAAGTGGGGTGCAGCAGGGGAGCGTGGTGCTCGTACGGCTTCACTGCACCCTTCCTGTCCCCAGAGTCCCAAGCACCTTTGAAGTTGTCATTGCACCCAGGGCCCAGGGCTTTGGTGCCTGGCACCATCACGGCCTCTACTCTCCCACCTTACCTGAGGGATTAAAGTGTGGATCAGTTCCAAGATGAGTTTCAGAGCCGGCTGAGAGGCCACTGTGTTCAGTTCAGCACAGAAACTTAGTCAGCCCTCTTCTCCATACCTGTGAGCGTCTCAGAGTTGTTTCAGGCAATAAAAGGCCCAGGTGGAAAGCATAATAAATAAATAAATAAATAAAAGGCCCAAGTGCTTCCGAAATGGTGCGCCTTAAAGCGCCTTATTTTCACAAGAAGCACGTAAGCAAAAAAGTCAAGTATTTCAGGAGCAACTGCAGTGACTAAATGAAATGTGCCAGAGACCAGAGCCCACTCAGGGGTCCACAGTGAGGGCTGGGTGGCGGCCACTGTCCTGGCTCCTGCCTCCCCCTCCATCTTTCAGCACTGATGGGCCATCCACCCTCATGAAAAAGTTCCGCACCAGAGAGATGACAGCAGTCACACACATTATCTTTTCTGTCCTTCTTGTCTATCAAACTATACTTTAAAGGAACGTGTTATTAAAGCATTATATAAGCATGAAAATATCTGAAAGAGAAACAAGTTATGTCGAAGACATACTGGTAAGGAATGCTTGGAGTAGGCTCATGACAAGTGGTAAAAGATATTTTTAGTCACCTTCTTTTGGGGAAGGATAAAGCAGAATTATCCAGAATATGTAGCATTGGGAGATATTTTCAACTTTTCTAATATTTAGCACATTTACAGTCTCTTTTAAAATAAGTAACCCAATAGAATTGTCTAAAGGTTTAAATATTACTTGGAGACACTTTATTCTATTGTAATGAGTAATTTTTATGTTCTTTGGAAAAGTTTATGCTAGGTCAGTGTGTGTTTTGAATGTCTTTTTTACTCCTATGTTCTTCTGAATTACTCTCATCTTGCATAAGAAATTGTCTCAGTCACTTTTCTCACCGCGGAGACACAGTACCTGACACCCACAAGCTAAAGGAGGACAGGTTTATTTCGGCTCACAGTCTGTAGAGGTTTCAGTCCCTGGTCCCCTGGTCGTCTGGCTCCAAGGCAGGCAGCCTGGCAGAGGGGCCTGGCGGACGAGAGCTGCTCACCTCATGGTGCACAGGAAGCAGAGAGAGAAGGGAGGAGCCAGGCGGGAGATAGAACTTTCCAGGCCACGCCCCCTGACTGCCTCCTCCAAGCAGAGCCCTCCTCCTAGTAGCAATTCACAAAGCCCTGCCTTATAAGGGCGGGAGGTTTGAGGTAACATCCAGTAGAACCCGCACAGAAATCGTATGTCGTTTTTATTGATCGACTGACCTATGAAGAAAGTATGACCCTTGCAGGAAATGACCAAGGACCGGGAATTACGTTTGCAGCTGAAATGTTTGAGACCTAAAACCGGTGAGCTCAAGGCTCCTGACAATTCTGACTAAAATAAAACACAGGAGTTTGAAGTGAACCTAAGAATACCTAAAACATAAAAAAAGAATCGTTTTGGCATTTTAGTCCTTTTCCTAAAGAGACAGGTCACGTTTTCTTTCCAGCGGAATCAATCACCTACACAAACGCCCTGCAGTGTGTCGAGTCACTTGCATGGAAGGTGGAACCACTCACCCGGATGCTACTTTTATGCCTTAATTTACTTTGTCCTAGGATCGTAATGAAACAGTGATAATTATCTTTAGAAATTTCTATTTTCAGATGGAAAACAAAATCCTCATGCTTCATTTTTTTTTTTTTTTTTGGTACTGGGGAACTGGGGATTGAACTTGGGTCCTTGTGCTTCTGAGTCATCATGCTTCTTAAACCAGCACTGAAATTTGATCCGAATGTTGGTCATTTCCGCAGAACTGTAAATGCACTTGTGACAGCCACGGCTCACACCAAGGACACCTTGTTCTGTGCTCATGGGGCAGGAGGAAGAGCTGAGCATGGATTTTTTTTTTCCCTGAGTAAAAATATCCATTATTTGACCAATCACTTTAAAAGTCAGTTATTGAAAATAGCCAAGTCCCCTAGAACAGTAGAATGTAACAGTAAATATTGGTTATTACTATTATTAGAGACTAACACAATCTTTCCTGGGAGGTTTGTGGAATAGCTCAGTGTTTTAGAGTCTAAAACATTTTTGTGCCTTTACTGCAGTCCTTCAAATTGAGATTAAAGTATGTATTTTCATAAAAGAGAAATTTGCAACAGAAAGTTAATATTCCTTTCATTAATTTCCTTCTAAGAAGTAGATGATGATTCATGAAAATCTGCCATATTGGCTACGTACCAGTGATAGCCCAGCTTTGTTTTTGTAAGATAAACATATGACCCAAAACGCAGATTTGTGAGATCCTATTTGCTAAGTGTGCACTTCCTGTGGAACATGCTGGTGAAAATCTCCTGCTTTAGGCCAGTTGAGAAATGGGAAGGGATGGGACCCTGCACTAACATACCTGATTTCAGCCTTTGCAAAGAGGTTTCTTCAGGAGGAAATAAATTCTTCAAGGACACTGTCTATGTGCTGGGGCTGCTTCTGCCTACTTTAACCGAGCAATTCTCTCTCTGTTTCAGGATCTAGATTTCTCATCACACCCACGGGAGCCTTGTATATTAAAGATGTACAGAATGAGGATGGATTGTATAACTACCGCTGTGTCACACGGCACAGGTACACCGGGGAGACCAGGCAGAGTAACAGCGCTAGACTTTTTGTATCAGGTAAAGTCTCATCAACTCTGTGGGTGCTGTTTCTGTGACTCCCGTCAGATTGTGCTAGAAAAACAGCACAATTTTGGGCTAAAATGAAACCTTCAGGCTTTTAATTTCCAAAATATTTTACCAGCTGTAAAAGTCTTCTAAACCGGTATCAGGAGAATATAATGAAAATATAGATATTTCCAGTGAAGTCATTTCACAGTTTGTACAACTTTCAATTCCTTTGACCCGATGAGATTCCTGCTGGGAAAGCATCACTCCCTGCCCCGCGTGTGTGTATGTTTTATCTTCGACAAAACTGGCACCATCTTGCGACAGAGCCCCATCCCATGCTATGGGTCACACCTGTGCTTCTCAAATGAGACCTAATGCCACTGGGGAAATTGTCCTTATCTCAAGGTAGAAGGACATTCACATCTGCCCACCTCCTTCCAGGATGATCCTTAATCCAAGAAGGAATCTGAGTTAATTCCACTGTGCTAAATATGTCAGTTCTATGCTTTCCTTCATGGGATTTGCACTTGAGAAAATATCAATGCATCATCAGCATGACTGGCTTGTCCTTGGCTCATCTGTTAAACAAATGATCCAGTCACGGGGTGGCGGTTGGCACCTCACAGTGTGTCGCAGGATGCGGAAGTGTGCATCCCGGTACTAGAAGATTAAATGCGAAGTAGCTGACCTTTGCCTTTGTAGATGAAGAGTGCAGAGTTTCCCCCACGCTGAATACCTGCTAGAGTACACTGTGAAATGGTGCTGACCGAAGACTGCAGCCCTCAGTGAGGAGGCTCTTGTTTTACTCGTAGTGAGGCTTGAAGAGGCCAGGAGGGGAGGGACTGCACCTGGGGGTCCTTGGAACATCACTGCCTCTTGCTGCCCTCCATAAGCCCCAGCCATGCTCTTCTCTGCTCACAGTCTCAGAGGAGCCAACATCTTACATGACTGTCAGTGTGCAACACAAATGCATGTCAGAATTCAGTGATTTTGCCTCTGAACTTGGAATGTTTTTACTTCTTTTTTCATGCTCATCATTACTTCCTCCCCAGTTTTATAGTCTCTAGGAAAGCTGCACCAGCAAATGACTGGCTGTCCTCTTAGGCCTTGGTGACTCCACAGACAGCACAGTGTCCCTCCCCTTGTCCAGAGCGGCCTAGAGACAGTCTTGTGTGCACAGGAGAGGAAATTCCTCAGGACAGTGGAGACAGGAAAGAGGGACTCCAGGGGGAGACTCTGGATGTGAGATTCACTGGCAGTTGGCATTAAGTAACCATTTCTCTATGCCATAGGTGAATCTGCTGTTGGGGATTCCTGTGGAAACGGCCCCCCACTTATAAGTGTTTGGGTCCTTCCTGCCCCGAACAAAGAATTGGACAAGACAAGCCAAAAACGGTTCCAGAAGTTTATTTGAAAAGTGAGGGCTGAAGGGGTAAAGGAAGAACTAGCTCTGTAGAGCAGCTCAGGCCAAATAAAGAGAGGAAAGGATAAACTCGAAAATGGAAGTGCCTTCTGCCTAGTAGACCCAGGCTGGGCCACCCTACAGTCACAATAGTGGCTCCCCCCGGGGTCTGGGTCTCTTGTCCTAGAGTGTCCTCGGCGAGGCTCCAGGGGCTCCCAGAGCTCTCCGGGTGTGCTGCAGCACTCCTTCCAGGGACAGGGACCCTCGGGGCCGCTGTGTCCAGGAAGCAGCTGAGCAGAGTGGACTGTGGAGAGCAAAGGAGGGAGAAGGCCCAGGCAGCAGCCAGGCTGGAGGTCTCATCCCGGGAGAGGCCAGCTGGCAGGGAGAGGCCACCTCAGGATGCAGTGACACCGGCCTGAGACTCGTGGCTGGATGTGGGAGCCTTTCTGCTCAGGTGGAGCTGACAAACAGGCTCACATTTGAGTCCTTCAGGGACACTCCGGGGAGGAGGCCAGACAGGCTTGTTCACAGGGAGTGGAAGGTCCTGACTTCGATCCCCGGTACTGGAAAAAAAAAAAAACCCTAAAAAGTGGAAAATGAGCAAAGCCATATTTTTTTGTTTTTTTGGATTTTTGGTACCTGGGTTCAAACTCGGGTCCTTGCACTTGCGCAGCAGGCAGCAAAACCATGTTTTGATTGTAGGAAGCAACTCAACAAAATTGGATACAAATCACTTGAAAACTATAACTTACTGCAGGAAAATGATTCTAGCCTTGAAATAGCATTATAAATCAGAAATAAAATAACTCAGGAATAAAGTGGCTAAACAAGAAGAATCTGTGAAATGAGAGATGGCGTAATTTAGGAAAGAATTAGAAAAGGTGAAATGTTACAAACTTGAAATAAAATTAGAAGGAATACATTGGAGAATTCACAGCAGAAAACACAATATGAGAAATAAAGACTAGAAAGAAAGCATGCAGAAAGTCAACCATACAGTGGAAAGAATCAGTGGGAGAATACAGTACTTCCATAGCAGGCAAAGATGGTGAAATACATGTATAATTAGGGTTGCTTTGAAAGAAAATAAAAAAGAGACCAATAAGTCAAGAAATATTCCTGTAACTAATGGATATACAGTTACAATGTGTTGAAATGATACTCCTTTACCTGCAAAATGGACCCAGAATGATCAATGTGGACCACATTTTAATAAAATTATGAAGTGTAATAAAGTTATGAAGTGTAAAGTCACAGATGCCAAGAGATTGATTGTTTTAGCATCCAGGGATTAGATTCAAGTGATGTCTAAGGGAAAACAGCAAGTACATGATAAAATAGAAAACAGACGAACAAGTAAAAATAATAAATACATTTTCTTAAAAAACCAATAAAACAGACAAACTGACCTAATGGTTTTTTAAATAGTATTCATTTCTGTACTAGGTCTGGGTTAATCAGACTGACCATTCTTTCTTCAGGGATAACTAAAAAGGCTGGTTAAATTTTTTAAAAATGTACCTCAGGTTGTTAGGAGCAAACGTGAACCATGATAGGGCCGCATTCCAGGGAAGGTAGCTTGGCTGGGGAAGTACATGTGCCCCGGAAGGGCTCTTCTCCAGGGAGGGCGACTTGGCGGTCAGCTGAGAGACCAGGAGCTGGAAGGTCCCTGGGGGCCGGGAAGGTCTGGAGGGCGCCCTGAGGCGTGCGTCCTGCCCAGGGCAGGGACGCCCCTCATGCCAGGCCATGCTCACGGGCGTCCTTCAGGGAGAGAGCACAGAACGGGCTGAGCGCCCCTCGGACTCCAGGACAGGTAGGGAGTCCTGGGGTCACTAGTGCTCCGCGACGGCCTTTACGAGGGACACGCGGGAGTCACGGGGTGATCAGATTCTGTGCTTTCTGTGATGTGGCACTAACCTGTGCCGCAGTGTCTCCCCTGCATGGTGAGCTTGTGGGGTCTGAGTTTGCAGTGAGACACAACTTTTATGTAATAGACAGTTCGCAGATGGGACGAGAATGAAGCCGGAGCCACTGGCTACTGATCTCCTGTGTGCCCAACACCCCGTGACAGCCGGCTCAGCGCTGCTTCAACGGTGTTCTTAAAATGCGAAATAAGTACCCGTTCCCACTTTGTAAAGCAGCTTTGTTGAGATACGGTTCACCAACACGAGCTCCACTCATTTCTAAGCATGCCATTCAGTGATTTTAGTGCAAACCTCACTGCAGTGGCACACACCTGTAGTCCCAGCTCCTCAGAAGCTGAGACAAGAGGATCACTGGAGCCCAAGAGTTCGAGGTCAGCAACATAGCTGGGGTGGGGCTTGGGGGAGTGGAGATTAACCTCTCAGGGGACTGACAGACTGCTTCCAGGGCTGGATACACCAGTCTCTCCTCCCCTCGTCGGCACTGCACATGGTTTGTTTGATTATCCACACCAACAGGCTGGGCGGTGATGTGTCCTTGTGATTCTCATTGAAAGTAAATGTATTTTTAACTGGTGCTGAAAACAGGAAAACCAGATGTCCTTACCGGGTGCCGGGTGTGATTTTGTACCTGTACGCATTGCATAATGTTTTAACCAAGTTAAGCTGTGTCTCCTCAGCTTTGGGAATGTGGAGTGTGTTACCACAGCCCACTCTGCCCTCCCACACAATGCCATGGCAGAGCCGCTTGCTCCTGCCTAACTGCCTTAGCGCCCACAGGCAGTCTCTCTCCTTACTTCCTGCTCCTACTTTCCCAGTCTCTAGCAACCTCCATCTGCTCCCAACTTCTAGATCAACGTTTTTAGTATTCCACACTGGAGTGAGGTAGAATGGCATTTGTCTTGGTGTGCGTGGCTCACTCAGCATAATGATCTCCAGTTTCATGCATGTGGTCACCAATGACAGGCTTTCATCCTTTTCTGGCTGAATAATATTCCCCACTGTGTACTTACCACATTTTCTGTCTCCATTCATCAGGTGATGGACACTTCAGTTATTTCCGTTTCTTAGCTATTGTGAATAATAAACACAGGACTGCAAATGTTTGGTCAAATACTGACTTGATTTCCTTTAGCTATTTACCCAGGACTAGGACTGTTGGATCATAAGGTAGTTCTGGTCTTTAATTTTTTGACGAACCTCCCTGCTGTTTTCCACGATGGCTGGACTAATTAACATCGCCACCAACAGTGTGGAAGAGTTTCATTCATCGGCAGCCTCACAGCTCTGGCTGCGGTCCTGCTGACAGGCGTCAGGTGACGCCTCAGGGCAGATTTCGTCTGCACTGACTAATGGCCAGTGACACTGAGCCTCCTCTGATGCACTGCTCAGTCCTATGTATATGTTCTCTGCTGATTTGTCTACTTAAATATTTTGCTCACGTTTTAACTTTTTTATTACTATAAAAATGTAGAGGCTGTTTATATTTTGGGGAACAAATCCTTTATCAGAAACATGAGTTGCAAGTCTGTTCTCTCAGTCACTTCTCATTTTTTCCTGATGGTACCTTTGGAAGTTCATAAGTTCTTAGTTTTGATGATATTTAATATATCATTTTTGTCTCATGTTTTGATATAATGTCTAAGAACCCTGCCCAAACCCAAGGCCTCAAACACTTTTTTATGTTTCTTCTATAAAGTTCTATGGTTTTCTAGCCTTTACACTTGGGTTTATGGTCCATTTGGGGTTGATTTCTGTAGAACATATGATACAAGGCTCACAATTCTGCCTTTTGGTTTGAATATCCCATTATCCCCTCCATTCATTTTAAAAAGTCATTAGAATTATGCAGTATTCTCTTAAGGAACATATTTGAGTACTTTGTATCATTAGTTTTAGCTGGAATAACAATTTTAAGTACCATCATCGGGTCCCATTAGAAGTTGGCATATTTTGTTTCCTGAGATTGTGGGTTATCCTGCAAGGAAGATGAGAGGTACACTCTGCCAAAGGTGGCACCTTCTTGTGCTGCTTTCTTTAATCCTAATCCTATTGCCTATTCTGACCAAAATGACACATTTTGTAACTTTTTTCTGAGTACTTCGTAATATCTCCACTCTTCCAGTATCAAGCTAGAATCTGTGCTTTTCCAATAGTAAAGTCTGTCACTATGTCTTCATGTTTCTCAACTAAATTAAAGCATTTTCAGAATAATATTAGAGAACCTCACTCCATGTAATATAGATATATAATTTCCAATTACTAAATAATATTCCTGTGTTTATTAATCATCTTTTTCTGTTGTTGGGAAACAATACATGACACCCAGAATTTAAAGGAGGAGAAGTTTAATATGGCTCATGGTTTAGGGGATTCAGTCCATGGTAATCTGCCTCCAAGGCAGAAACATCATGGGAGAGAGGCGTAGACATGGTTGGGGACAACTGCTCACCTCATGGCAGTCAGGGCACAGAGAGAGAAGGAAGAGCCAGGGAGAGAACTGCAGCCTCCAAAGGCTCATCCCCAGTGGCACACCTCTTCCAACTAGGCCCCACATCGTAACAGCTCATTTAGCTATGGACTACAAATTGGTCAGCCCACAGGTGAGCACAGCACCCCATGATACAGTCACTTTCCAAAAGCTCTGCCTCTGAACACAAGACTTTGGGGGACATTCTAGATCCAAACTATAGCACCTCAGGATTTATACTGTCCACAAGTCCCACCCTAGGAGGTGGTAAAGTCACTGGAGGTTGGGAACGTCTGAGATCCTTTTTGGAGCTGGCCCTAGGAACAGTCTTATTTTTCCTAGATCATGGAACCTACTAGGGGTGCAGACTTCCAGTAAGATGCTCTGAACAGCAAGCCATCTTCCCAGAGAATGCTGAGGAGTCATAAAATGTCAGTTATCAGGCCTGTGTCTTCTTGACACTTCAGTCCATGAGAAACTAACTTGTTCCTCGAAGCAACACTTCGCAGAGTCTGTCTGTAACTTCCTTCCAAAGTGAGCAGTGTAAATCCATGAGACTTGCTGGCGGGGATGCACGCCAGCTGACCTTATGAACCTCCTGTGCATCCGTATTCCCTTGGAGCCCCACAGCAAACATGTGAATGACTTTAAGAGTAAAGACAAGGACTCTTCAGCTAATGAGAGGTGCGGCCTCCGAACCCCAGTCCCATGTTCTTCAGGAGGTCATTAGTTTCCCTCCCCATAGTACATTCACACTGTTCTCAACAGGTGCAGGGAAACCGAGTTTATAATGGGTATCCACTCTAATGAGCTCAAAGAAATTCGAATGTTTTAGTTAAATGTTTTTGCTCTTCGCAATCTTGTCTGTTGACTGCCCTTAGTGCTGAACTGTGTAATCACAACCTTTTAAAGAAGTCTTTCTAGAAGCCTCTATTGCTGTTCTTGTTTTAAAACACAGAAGTTTACTTTTCTCATACACTTAAGAAGCAAGCTTGGCACTTCCTGGGTGACCAGGAACTGGGCTGTGTCTTTCTGTCTCTCATCCTCATGTTAGGATCCCACTCCCAGGGGCCACCTCCTAGCCCAGCATGGTGCTGGGGCCCTGGGAATCACTCGCATTTTCCAAGTAGTGGAAAGAAGGGCAAAATGGACAAAGACACCTCTCAGCTCAGTCACTTTGCTGTAAGCGGCATTTTCTACATACATTTTTTCTCCTCACGTATCTCATTGACTAGAGTTTATATTTTGCAGCTTTATTGAGATATATATGGCTAATAAAAATCATACATTCAGACTGTGCAACCTGACAAATAGACACATACATAGATACACAGACAGACAGACTGATGTAGTGGAAGAATTACCACAGTTAGACTAAGTCACGTGTCCATCACCTCTCCTCAGGTGGTTACTGTGTATGTGTGCTGAGAATGTCTAAGATCTCTGGTCTTTACAATTCAAATATGCAGCACAGTATCATCAACTACAGACACTGCATAAGTTGGCTCTCCAAAACTGGCTTATCCTGCGGAACTGACAATGGCCACGCTGCCTGAGGTGCAGTGGCACCCATTGTAGTTTTGACGTGTATTTCCCTGGTAGTTAAGGGTAGTGAACATCTCTTCCTGTGTCTTCTGGCCATTCGCATTTCCTCCATCAACAAGTGTCTATTCAGGTCATTAGCCCAGTTTCAATCGGATTGTTTCTTGCTAGTGGTTATTGTCGTCATAGTTCCTCCTGCATTCTAGATGCTAGTGCTTTGTCAGATGAATACTTGGCAAATATTTTCTTCCTGCTGGGGATTTAGCTCAGTGGCACCGCACCTACCTGGCAAGTGCAAGGTCCTGAGTTCGATCCCCGGTACAGACACAAAATAATTTCTTCCAGGTAGAGAGAATGTGGAGAAAGGGGAACTTTCCTACAAGTGTTATGGGAATGATCATCACAGGAAAAACATGAGCTTCCTCAAAAGCCTAAAAATAGATCTACACCATGAGCCAGCCCTCTGGGCTCTGAGTACATGTGTGAAAGAACAAAATCAGCCTGCCAGTACCTGCATGCCCAGATACTCACGACAGCTAAGAAATGGACTCAGTTTATATGCCCATCAATGGATGAATGAATGCAGAAGATGTCAGACTGACAAATTTCTAGCTCACAAGGAAGGATGAAATCTTGTCACATAGCAACATGTGTAGAACTGGAAGGCATAGTGTTAAGTGAAATACATGAGACACAGGAAACCACAAGGGTCTTGTGTTTTCTGTCCTATGTGGAAGTGAAAAAATCAAGTCTCCCTGGGTGGAGAATGGGGGACACTGGAGGTTGTGGAAGGGGAGCTGGGCAGGGGGAGGCTGGCTTTGGTCCATGCGGGCCTGGAGTGTGTATGTACTGAAAGATCACGCTGAACCCCATTAAGATGTGCATTTAACACACTCATCAAAAGTAAAAAGACAAAGTGCAGACTTTTTTGAGATGAGCAGGTGAAACGAATTCCAATCCAGTAGCTGTGCTAAAGAGCTTTTCTTGTGAAATAGCTTTTACTAATGCTAAACAACCACCTCTTCCAAAGGGATGTCTGGCAGCCTCTTCTCGGCCCCAGCAGACGCACTTGCTGAGTCTGGATATTTCAGTCACTTACAAGTAAACCGGAGCCCTGACTGGGCGAAAGGCTATCGTTCGGGCTTTCATTTTCTGTCCCACACAAACCCTAAAGATGTGCATGCAAAGGTCTTCTGTGTACAGGGCTTGCGGATGCGTGCAGCCTGGGGTTCTGGGAGACCCCGCCGCCTCAGCCTCCTCTGAGCGCTCTGCTTCCTTCTGCAGACCCAGCGAACTCGGCCCCGTCCATGCTGGATGGGTTTGACCACCGCAAAGCCATGGCGGGGCAGCGGGTGGAGCTGCCCTGCAGAGCACTGGGGCACCCTGAGCCCGACTACCGCTGGCTGAAGGACAACACGCCCCTGGGACTCTCGGGGAGGTTCCAGAAGACGGTGACGGGGCTGCTCATCGAGAGCGCCCGGCCCTCAGACTCAGGCAGCTACGTGTGCGAAGTGTCCAACCGGTATGGGACCGCGAAGGTGATCGGCCGCCTGTATGTGAAACGTAAGTCAGACGGCCCTGGCCTCCCCACTGGGGCTCCCGAGCCCGCGCACCCCGCCACTGCTGCTGGGGAGCAGACAGAGGTGCCCGCCCCGGCTTCGCAGCAAGGCCTCGACCTCGGAGCCTGCACCTTGAGGTTCTGATGCCATAGGACCACTGCATTTCCAAGGGCACGGCCTCGGCACCGGGACCAGGGTGGCTGGCCATCTGAGAACACATGGAAGGTCATGCTTTCAACACAGGGCGGTTTGCAGATGTCGCTTCACATTTCCGGGTGCTGTGGGCAGTGGAGCGGTGAGGCACTGAGTCACCAGAGCCAGGCCTGGCTCCTAGTGCCGATCCTGCAGCCTGCGTCCACGTGCTCATCTCAGTGAGCTCGCTCGCAGCTTGGAAGGGGGGCCGGGCCACCAGGGCCAGGCGGGCGGGCACTGCAGGGTCACACTCTACCCTAGCCAGGGGCCCTCAGACCTACCCACGCAGAAACCGAGACCCAGTGAATTGCCCAAGGTCACATGACCAGAATTAGGCCACAGGGGCTTTGCCAGACAGGGATGTCTCTTAGTTGTCAATGTGCCAGCCCTTTGATTAATCAATTGATGATTGATTGGAGACAGGATCTCACTATGCAGTTCAGGCTGGTCTTGAGCTCACCACGAAGCCCAGGCTGGCCTTGAACTCGAGGCAACCCTCCTGCCTCCACCTCCCAAGTGCTGGGATTACAGTCCTGTGCCCCCACACCCAGCCGATGTTTTATACTTTCATTTAAGGAGCTAAGCTAAACGAACTGAACCAGAGGCTCTCACACAGAAAAGGGAAGCATTTTCCAACCTTGATTGGTTTTCCTGCCCCATGTCCGCTTATGGAACGGCCTCTTCAGGGTCAAGTATGGTGACAGCAGCAGCATAGACAGGCTGTGTGATGACACCTAAGAGAATGCATTTAAATATCCCAGTGACTCCCAAAGCCAGCAGTGCTGCCACATCCTGCACGTTTCCTTCACACATGCGCGCAGGCTGGGGTGAGAGAAACGGAGCACAATGTCCACACCGTGGTGCCTCTGAAGCCCCTGTGGATTAAGCAATGCCCCGTCGTACAGCTGGTGAAGTTATGCCCATAGGTTCAGAGGCTTTATGTTAAAACACCTTCCATAACTCCTTGTTTTCTATCAAATAAATTTGTATCTTAGACTAGTCTCAAAAGCATCTCACGAAAATCCCTCTGGTCATATTTCCTACTGCTTTGCTCCCCCAAAACAAGACCAAGCCCTGCTAAAAGTCACTTCTTTCCAGTCCCTATGGCAATCCCACTGTGTTCCTGTTTGTGCCCTCCACTTGCAAGATTCCTCTAAATTGCATCCGCAAAGCATCCCATGTCCCCGTCCAGGGTTGAAGCTGCCCCCAGAGACGGGTTTGAATCTGTGTTCAGTGCCAGTTCTGAAATTCTCTCTCTCCTTCTCCTCCTCCCTCTCTAGCTCCTCACTGTCTGCATCTTAGAGCCTGTTTGTGGGAAGGCCTGGGTTCTTATGTTCATCCCTCCAGCCCTCTGTCACTCTCCAGGGTCCCTCATGCATCTCCCTTATCCCTCCCCCTGCTCCCTCTGGCTATGGGGAACTACTCTGTAGGTCCCAAGTCCAGAGCACTCTACGCTTCCAGCTCTTTTCTTTTGAACCTTCTATTCCTTTGGCTTTGTTTTCCCCATTCAGTCTATTGGTCCATTTTAGGTATACAATACAGTTGCATTCATCCCTGGGATCTTGTACCTTTACATGAATATCTTGGTTCTTATTATTTTCCCCTTTCCCTGTCCTCCCTTTACCCCTCCACCCTTCCCTATTTGCAAAGACTGTTTCCATTTTTATTCTTTCAAAACTCAGTGGACCATGTATGTGTGGTTCTATTTCTAGATTCTCTGTTTTATTCCAATGATCTATAAGTCTTTCCTTACACCAACACTGCCTTGATTACTGTAGCTTTAGAAGAAGTCTTAAAATTAGGTACTAAACATCTTCCAACACTTTTTTTTTCTTTTTACTTTTCTAGGTCCTTTGTACTCCTACATAACTTTTAAATTTCAGTATCCAGTTCTTCATTTACAGCAGTATACATAGACCTGAATTTTTATATGTACCTTGTGTTTTCTAATCCTGCTAAATTCAAATACAAGTTCTAGGGGCTCCTAGAGATTTCTTAGTATTTTCTCTGTAGATAATCATTTCATCTACATATAAAGATTTTACTTCTACCTTGCCAATCCTATCCTAATTGTTTCTTTTTATTGCCAGCCGATTTTGGTTTGGGCCTATGCTTCAAAGTTTAATGGACAGATGAAGAGTAGGCACATCTGTCCTTGTTCCCCACCTTAGGGAGAAAGCATTGTATCTTCTCCATTCCTTTGGCTTTAAATCCCACCCTTTTGAAAAGAAGCCTTAATCCTCTATGCATAGCCTCAGCTTCCTCCCTGAGTGTTGGTCACACATGTCTCCCAATTTTATATCTGCCTTGAGCCCTTCAGAAGAACAGGACAGGAAATCAGATGGAAGTCTCCACCCTCTGTCTTCCAAATGGCTCTTGAGGAACGTCTTCCCGTCATCTCCCAAAAGCACACCTGTCCTCTCTGGGCCTCTTGATTCCTCTCTGGGCCTCAGTGCTGGATGTTGATCTCACGGTGCTTCCCAGCCCTGCCCTGTGCTTCCCTTTTGTCCTTCGTGGACCTCATGTTGGATCCAAGCTGAGTCGGAAAGTCTTCCTGTATTGTCCTTTGTGAGGGTTAATCTTGATCCTCATCTTGATTGGATGGTGAAGGTTGTAGGAAGTTAGTGAAGCCCACATCTGGGTGTGTCAGTGAGGGCTTCCAGAGACGACTGGCATGCAGGACAGCAACTTGAGGGAAGACCCACATTTAAAAGGGTAGGGACCCAGATGGGACAAAAGCAGCAGAGGAGGACGCCCCCAGCACGAGCTGCCTGGCTCTTTCCCTCTGCCTGGCTCCAGGCCACTGTGAGGTGAGCCTGTTTTCTACCATGATGTTTCTGCTCCACCATAGTCTTGGAGGCTGTGAAGCTGGGTGACCATGGATGGAACCCACTGAAACCCTGAGCCAAAACAACCCCTTTCTCCTTTGAGTTTACTTCCCCAGGTATTTTGTCACAGTGACGGGAAGCTGACTGACTGTCCTGTGGATTCCTGCTGACCTCAGTTCTTTTCCTCCTGGATAGTAGAGGTTTTCCTGGCCTCCCTGTTGATTCATCACCACATCTTCTGCCTCCACTGGCCTCTGCCTCACTCTGCTTGGCCCTGTAGCAACCATTCTTGTCCTTGTCTCATCGGTGTAAAAGGCTGAGCTCCTTGGATCCATAGATTTCACAGTTTGTCAAGATGCTAAGTCAGGAGCAACCAGGACGACAGCCTAGTCTGGCCATTTACCTTCAAGCTGGATTTGATCATAGGACGTAATTTCTCTCCATGGCCATTTCCTCTTCTGGAAAGTGGCAGCCATAACACCAAACTTAGAGGGTGACAGGAAGACTACATAAGTAATGTATGAAAAAATTTGGTGCTGTCACGGCTCATGCCAGTGGTACTGGCAATTTTGTCCATCTCTATCCCATTGGTGAGTTTAACCTCATCCTTGCCTAGCATAGGTGCTCCGTACATACTTCCTATGTGGAATTGGGCTTGTTGGATTAAAAACACGAGCATTCAGGAATGGGGGTGCCATCCCTGTCTGATCATCTTGCCTTGTCTCAGAGAACAGCTCTATTTTGAGGATGTGCATCTTAACAGCACCTGATTTCCTCAGGTGTTAGTGGCCCTGGTAAGCCCCATGCAGCACAGGAGTGAGTGCGTGTCTGAGCGTAGACGAAGGCCAGCCCTCTCAGCTACCTTGGGACAAGGCAAGTAGGACTTCTGTGTTCAGGTTCCTGATCCTGTTTGGTCGCTAGCACACTGCACTTCTTAGTATCTAGGGCCAACGCCACCATCCACACATATCCTCCCCGAGAAAGCAGCTTACCCAACTCAGGTCTAGTTGCTATAGAGAAAGAAAGGAAAGCCCACAGAAACACGAAGCAAAGAGGGAGGCCCCCAAATGGTGCACAGAAACCATTCTGATCCGAAACGGTATCACAAGTCTGGCCCACGGTGGAGATGCTGTCCAGTGGTGACTTTGCCTTCTTTTCCCCTCTCGCCCTCCTCCAGAGCCACTAAAAGCCACCATCAGCCCCCGGAAGGTTAAAAGCAGCGTGGGCAGCCAGGTTTCCTTGTCCTGCAGCGTGACCGGAACTGAGGACCAGGAGCTGTCCTGGTACCGGAATGGCGAAATCCTCAAACCGGGGAAAAATGTGAGGATCACAGGGATCAACCACGAAAACCTTATCATGGATCACATGGTCAAAAGCGACGGGGGCGCCTATCAGTGCTTCGTGCGCAGGGACAAGCTGTCTGCTCAGGACTACGTGCAGGTGGTGCTCGAAGGTCAGTGGCCTCGGGAGAGAGAGGGCCAGACACAGCTGTGCTGAGCCGCAGCACATAGGACTCTCACTCAGCCCCATCTGGCCGGCCTGAGTCAGGCAGGGAAAGCATTCTGATGAGACTCCAAGGGCAACATGCTGGAAGTTACATGAATGTCACCCACTCATGCTGAGAGTCACTTGTCCAGCTAGAAACCCTGGCACTTGACACTCAGGGCTTGTTGACATTTCCTCAGCCCCAGACCTGAGTTCTCAGGGATGCCTGTGTGGTGGCGGAATGTTTGCCATCGCAGCATCTCTGACCTCCTCTACCCACTAGTGCCAATAGCTCCCCTAACCCGTTGTGGCCACCAAAACATGGCAGACATTGCTGGTGTCCCCTGGGTGGGGGGCAGGGGAGGGGTGCCCTGCTGTTGAGAAACACATCTTTGCCGGGGTCTCCGTGTAGGTGCAGATATTCACAGGTTTCCATGAGTGGAGAAGGGGCAGTTGTCTTGGGCATAATCTCGGCTTGTGTGTCTTGCCATTTGCTTTTCCTAACTGGCTACTGCGTGTTGAGATCTTCTAGCTCATCAGCCAGCCAGGGAAAGGCAGTGTGACAGGCAACAGTTAAGAAAGACGTGTTTATCACCAGATAATTGGACTAGCTTCTGTCTGTGCATTTGTGTGTCCTGCTGGAAATCCTGTCATTCGGTATCATTTACTGCTCACCTGTTATCAACCCATTAAAATAATGAAATGATTTTCATATAGCCCAAAGAGAGAATAAATAAAACCCAGTAATGTATTAAAGTAGGTTTCAATATGTCCTGATGGTAAGCAAATATTTCTCTTCCTGCTTCTTCACCCTTAGCTAATTTTGAAGAGGCAGCTGGCTTAGAAATGAGATTCTTATCTTGGGCTGGGAGCTCTGCTGCCAATAGTGAGGTTTGTGAAGCAGAGGTGAAATTAGCCCAAGGTGTACAGCTCAGATTAAATGCCGGAGGCCAAGCTGCACGTGATGATTAAGTCCAGAAAGGGATCAATTTGCACACAACAGGGCCGCAGATGACGATGCAGTCCAGCCCTTGAGGAGTCGTTATTTTTAGGTTCTTCCTAGCGAGACGACAGATTACCTGTCTGGGCCCTGTTTCCTCGGCAACCATCTAGAATCGCCAGTGACTGAGAAAATGGAAAGAGCGTATTGATAATCCCTAATGATGCTGAAAGGCTCGGCTATCAGAGAGTGACAGCATGGAGGATTTCAAAGATGCTCGGGTCTCCGGGAAGATAGCGTCAGCATTCATCTCCAGAGAAAGCCGTCACTTAAACAAAGCTGGGGCACACTCTCCGATTTATTTGTCGCATGTCAATTTCCATTCAGGACAAGAAGCTTCATTTTATTTTTCTGCCTTCTGAGAGTTAGATGACTGCTAATGTAGCAGAAGAGCAAGACTGGAATTACAGACACATACCCGCAGCCACTGTGGAACTGCCTAGCAGGTCTCTTCTGAGGAAGGCGCCCAGTCTTCCCACCAAATGGCTGTAGCCAAAAATAAAATGGAAAAAATTCACAATGCCACACCGGCTGCATGATCCCAGGGCATCTTCCGGGAGGCTGCGTAAGCTGGGGCCAGACAAAGCCAGGAGCTCTGGAAAAGGGAATAATAAAAAATAATAATGATGATGATAGGTTTCATTTTGGAAATGGTAACAAGATGCACCTTACGCGCACCCCAGCGTGTTAGTTACGAACTTTGGGAAGACAAAGGCTGTGTGGAGAGATTCTCCAAGCAGACAGAACAGACCTGAGCCGGAAGAAGGGACAGGCTTGCAGTGTCCGCACCGTACCTTCCCCAGGACACGCTCAGGCCAGGCGGAGAAGGAGGAACAAAGCCAAAGAAACACGGAGGGTTGAGTCTTTCAGGATTCGGGTGGGAGAAGACAGAGCTACGCCGAGCCCTGTACCCTGCAGGAGCGGCAGAGGCCCAGGAGAGGAGGAGGATGGAGAGCCCTGCTCCTGGGATGCCACAGTGCAGAAGTAAGGTGGGATCCCAGTCTCCAGGAGAAAAGCAACCGGATGAGTTACAACAGCAAGGAGAACAGACATCAAGCAACAGGGCACTGTGGCCGGCCCCAAAAAACAAAGTGCACAGCAGAAGCAGACATGCCGAGGGCGGGCACCAACGTCAGCAGAGGAGGACTTGCACTTGCAGGTGCCATGGGAAGTCTGTGTGCAGTGAGTTAACAGAAATGGGGACAGAATGAGCGAGCACACGAGAAAGCTGAGCTGTAAAGAGGGACGACGCTGTAAAATCAATCGGCACAAATGAAAACACCGTATTTGTTGTCAAGCATGGTTGGAGAAGGAAGAAGAAAGGAGCAGTGAGCTTGAAGGGGATGGAAAGAAATCATCCAGCCTGCGACGGAGAGAAAGACAACAGCAGAGAGGGGCTGGTGCCAGCCGAGGGGGCTGCAGTCATCACGTGGCTGTGGTCGGAGGTCCAGAGCAACAGGAGGTGGAGGCCGGGAATCAAAGTCTCGGAAGACACACTGCCACCAGTTCCTCAATCTGACAGAAACAATAAAGTGGCAGATCGGAAAACCTCAGGAAAACCTCATGAAAAGAAAACGAAATGAAGCACCGGCATGCCAGAGGCAGACCGCTGCAGACCCGAGAGGCAGAGGGAGGCTTGTCGGCATGAGGGAAGGGAAATCTCAGCCAAGGCCATGTCCAGACACCAGGCGCCTCCTGGGACCTGGCGGAGGACCACAGCGCAGCAATGTCTTTAAATGTTTGAAAAGGAAAGAAAAGACCCTGCCAACGTGGACTTCTGTCGCAAAAGTAATCTTGAAAAATGGAAGCAAACTAAAGATATTTTCAAGAACCCAAAGTGAAAGGAGGTGAAGGCAGGAGCCCAGCACCTCAGGAAGGTAAATGAAGCCAGGCAGCAGGAGGAGAGGACCCAGTGTGGAAACTCTGACAGCCTAGAAGAAAGAGCACTAGAAATGCTGAAATCCCAGGGTGTGGCAGAAGTAGTTTTCTCTTTTCTGAGCAAAACTTGGTGGATCAGAAAGTTATAATACTATTACGGAGTTTATAACAGAAATAAAGATAATAACAAAGACAGAATGGTTTAAATGTTGGAAAGTGTCTGTGGCAGGGCTTTTATATTTAACATAAAGTTTGGCGATTTTAACTTTTCGTATTAGGATTAAGAACATACAATACATGCCACATATTCAGTATATGCCTAATTGCAACAAAAGGAAATAGTATAGATGAAGAACTCTTTCCTAAACAGATAGGAACACTTGGGTTTTCAGGGCTTAGTGTAGAAATCAGTGCATAGCGAGGCGTGGTGGCACATGCATGTGATCCCAGCACATGGGAGGCTGAGGAAGGATTGCCATGAGCTCAAGGCCAGCCTGGGCTACACAGAGAGCCCTTGTCTCAGAAAACCAAGAAACAATTAAAAATTTTAAAAAAGAAATCAATGCAGAGAAATTTGCAACTAAATGTAGCTCACTTACAGGAAAGGTAGAATTATAAAGATGAATTTCGTTGTTTCAATACACCCATGCTTTCGTGACTGCTCTGTACCAAGTGCGACCCTCAGGATGCCACCGAGCTGCTCTGTGAGATCAAATGTTCAGCACCATGAGGCTGCATCTAACCCCCACGATGCATTGCAGAAAAAAAGCACAGCTTGGTCATTTTCACATTCTTGAAGTTCTTTCTGCATCTGTGACAGTAAAAGAACAATGTTTGCTATCCATGGACGCCTGTGTGATGCATATGGGTGTGCTTGGGAAACAAACAAGACATGAGCGCTTCTTCCAGCCGCTGGAAACGCCAGCTGGGGTGCACAAGTGAGGATTCCAGCAGGGGGGGCAGAAATGGGAGGGGCCTTCAGCACACATGCGCACACACACGTGTGCGCACACACACACACACAGACACACACATGAGGCTGAGACCCTGCTCGGAGCCGAGCCTCAAGGTTCGCGATGATGAGTGGCAGTTTCCTCGGGGAATTTGGAACTGTTAACAGTTATATTTCTCTGAAGGATTTGCAAGCAGTACCAAGTTTTGCTCTTCCTTTTCGTGTATCTGTGCTTTCTAATTGTTCCAGAATAAACAGATAATACTTTGCTGAAACAAAAATTATTAATCAATGCCTTTCATTATGGGACCAACCTTTTAATTGAGGATGAGACAGAGAGACAGAGAGACAGAGACAGACAGAGACAGAGCTTGATTTAAGCCAGGAAGTTTTATTAGCAGAGTCAGAAGTATTATTGCATATGATCGCAACTATGTCAGAATGCCAGACTGATTCCTGGGGAGCATGTCCCTTTGTTGATTTGTTTGCTGGGTCTGGAATGCCTACTGATGACTTTTTCTTTGCTTGGCTTCATACATCTTGTTTAATGTATGTAGATCTCATTTGTCTTTTAATGGAAAGGCATAAGAAACATGTATTTGCAATTATGGCCATATAATGAGAGAAATAGTGACATGTGTGATAGAAAAATAATGAAAGATGAAAATTTAAACATTGTTAAGCATTTTGAAAATTCCCATGGTGATTCCTCCAAGGTAGCAATTCTAGTTGCCCTGAATAGTTCTGGCTCCTACCTCTTCTGTTGGCATAATTATTTAATAATACTATGTAGTCCACTTCCAAAAGCATGGATGATAAATTTTATGGCCACCCTATAGGACACATTTAGAAATATTTGACATGTGATGGAAGGGCCAGACTTTACAGTATTTAGCTTCTACTCACCAGCAACTGCATGGACATTTACACACAAATGCCATTTGCAGTTAAATTTATAAAAGAGAGAAAATGTTAGTGATGAGCTCACCAGACTCCCAGTAGTTTGGTGTACTCTTCCGAACAGTCCTGTGGTGGGAAATCCCTAAATCACCTGAGGGAAGTAGAAAGCTAAGCCGTGTCCAGCAATGCGTGGGTCCCTGTGGCTGCAGCTTTGGGTGGGGATGTACGAACTTGGAACTGGAGACATTTCGGAAGCTGCCACTGTTTATCATGAACCTCTAGGTTGTGAACTTTCTCCTCTTGTTGAGACAATCAGGAAAGAGCCACGTGCTTTATTAAAGCTCACTACATGTGCCTGTTGTGAAAATAGTGAAATCCCAGGGCATCACGGTCAACGAAGCCAGGCGGTTGCCGCCACCCCTGCGACCCCCGAGCATGCAGCAGGCGCCCTCGGCAGCTGTTTAATATGTATGACCACTTCCTCCCGTACTTTTTTCCTGCAGATGGGACTCCCAAAATCATTTCCGCCTTCAGTGAGAAAGTGGTGAGCCCCGCTGAGCCAGTGTCCCTCATGTGCAACGTGAAGGGGACACCCTTGCCCACCATCACGTGGACCCTGGACGATGACCCGATCCTCAAGGGTGGCGGCCACCGCATCAGCCAGATGATCACGTCTGAGGGGAACGTGGTCAGCTACCTGAACATCTCCAGCGCCCAGGTCCGGGACGGGGGCGTCTACCGCTGCACGGCCAACAACTCTGCGGGAGTCGTCCTGTACCAGGCTCGAATAAACGTAAGAGGTGCTTGTCAAATCAGCTCCTCGAAAAACACACATAGCTCATTGTAGCGGAGAAGGGGGTTCTGCATGCTTGCGCTGCTGAGTCCTGGAATGCCCGACGGAGTAGCTGTCCCGCCCGTGTCCTGCCCGCTCCTTCCTTCTGGGAATGGCACAGATCGGGTTAATGTTGGAAATGGCATTTTGGTTGGTTCCTTAGTCAGCTTGTTCTCTCTCTCCTTTCAGACTTGTCCACTCCATCTTTCCTCTGCTGGTTTTTGCTCTGCATGTTCTTTCCTTTCTCCTTCTCTCTGTTCCACTCCATCCACCGGAAGCCTTCGTGTACATGGCCTTTAACTCACATTCATCATGCGCTGTGGCACAACCGCCATTGTCATCGTAGACTTGCTAGACAGAGTCAGGCTACGGAACGGTTGCTACCGGCGTCTTCACGAAGAGTGCATGATCATGCAGCGTAGGCCAGGACTTTAAACCTGTGACCTCGTGATTCAAAATATCTCCATAGAAGTCATAGGTGGTGAAAGTTTTAAACATTCATTCAGTTCATTCGAAAGTAATAAAAGAAAAATGTCTTAGTAGAAAATGCCAAATGCCTAAAATTTTGTTTAACAGGAAAAGATGAGTTGACGTGAAAATGGTCTGTTTGTAGCTCAAGAAAAGCGGACCCACTTCCCCACAGGAGCTGTACCCTTAAATTATTTTCAAGAGTTTCTTTATGTCTCTCCAGGGCCTGCAAGCATTCGACCAATGAAAAATATCACAGCAATAGCAGGGCGGGACACGTACATTCACTGCCGTGTGATTGGCTACCCCTACTACTCCATCAAGTGGTACAAGAACTCTAATCTGCTCCCTTTCAACCACCGCCAGGTGGCATTTGAGAGCAACGGGACTCTGAAACTCTCGGATGTACAAAAAGAAATCGATGAGGGCGAATACACGTGCAACGTGTTGGTTCAGCCACAGCTGTCCACCAGCCAGGGCGTCCACGTGACCGTGAAAGGTACCTGTCCTTCTCCTGTGTGCACACCGCTCCGCCGTGCCGCACAGCTGCTGGGAGGGGCCATCTCAGAACCTGAGTACGAGGGGTGGCGGGAAGGCAGAGGGACGCCGGGGGCACGAGGCGAGCCTCTCACTCCTGCGTGCTCCCTCAGGGGGTTTCATCTCCCGCCCGTGAGCGTTTGTGGCTTGTGGGTTTTCCGGAGAATGTGGGTTGAGAGAAAGTTACCACAGAGAAAAGAAAGTCATCAGGCTTGGTTACCTACTTGGCTGTCCGATCACTTTAAGATATGCATCTTGCTTTTCTGAAGACTCCTAAAATGGGATTCTCTCAGAACCCAGCTGGGGGAGATTTTTGTAGCAGAGGCGGACTTCGTCATGGCAAAGTAGCAGCACACAAAGCTGTGGCTCGAGGTCAGGATGGACCTTGGAGATGCTGCACCCCAACCCCAATCTTCTTCCTTGCAAAGACCAATAAAGTGACAGGGCCGCCCAGGCACACGTAGCTCTGGGGAACTATGGGGGACTGGGGAAGCCAGGTGTTGTCCTCCCACGGCAGTTCCCTTAGCTTGAATATAAAAGAAAACAATTTCCGCTTCGTAAATATTCTACATGAAGTGCACCATGAAAGTAGTTGTGATAGTTTCAAAAGTATTGTAAAGCAGTCCTCCAAATCTGTGTGAGCAGCCGCCAGCCTGCTGAACTGCCCGCCTCAGCTGCCCAAGTAATCACCCAGGTGCCGGGGGTCTTCTTTCAGTGCCCATGACACGTGGCAGACCCCTCCCCTGGATGTTCACAGCCTTCTTTCCCACAAACCTTGCCAGTTCTCCTGCTTTTAGAAACACACATGCACATACCAAAATGACATACTTGCTACACGTTGGGGAGAATACCTGTTATGTTTTATATCTTAGATACACCTGCACTGAAATAATTTGCATCTTTCTCAGTTCACTACATCCCGAAGAGGTTTCTCCAATAATTACAAGCTCTTGGTAAATCACACTGGCAATAGTTGCATACAAGTTCATCTTGTGGTTGTGTTCATTTCTTTAAGCATCATTTATGGAACATCTGCTCAGGCTGGGTGCCAGCTACAGGGCACTGGAGAAACCATGGCAGAGGTGGACAGGCTCCTTGCCTTTCTTAGTTATTCTTCCACTCAGTGGAGGCAAATCAAGTAAAAGCAGAAAATACTCAGTAGTGCTCAGTATCTGCATAGAATTAAAACATGGCTGTATCTTAAAGATGAGTTTCGGTGAAGAACCAGAAGCCACACTAATGAATGCTCCTACTTTTACTGTCCTGAACATCATGGGCCTGTGACGCTCCTGGGTGATTGTCCCACCCACGTGCACTTCTGTAACTTGAGCGGCAGGTCATTGGGAAGCCAGTGATCAATGGCTAATTATGCAGCTCTTCCAAATATTAACATAATTTGCTATATAATATCAAAATGGCACATTTATTAGTATTACTGTGGTCTCCCTAAGAAGTCTTAGATACTGGCAGCCTGCTGAGCTCATGGTTATGGAGTTGGGAATCAAACAGGGCTGAGCGAGGGTGGATGTCGTGTCGGCCTCTCAGTGCCCACATCTTCCCAGAGAGGAGTTTTGAGGAGGTCTTCAGAACTGAGCTCACAGGCAGGCAAGAGTGAGCTTTGGCCTGGTCACCAAGGGACAGGCACAGGCACAGTACACACTAACCAAGGCTGACTTTATAAGGCAGCTAACGTCCTCTCCTTTATCTGGAATGTTCGATGTGGTCAAGGGTGGTAACTAACAGACCTTTGCCAGTCTCCTGAGTCTCCACTCTTGGTCAGGAGAGCTCTGGACTTCCTGGTCTTAACTGGAGCCAGTGTCGCTGCCAGAACGCATGGGGGAGGAGCAGACCTCTATGCAATGGACATGAATGAGGCCCACATGGGCAGGCACAATCTGTGGCCCAGCCTGGGGCCTGGGAGCCCCTAGGTGTGAGTTGGAGGCCTCTGGAGATGCAAGGCTCAGGTAGGGGAACATGAGGGGCCTCGTTGTCCCTTCTCAGGAAGTGTTGAGGCCACGAGCTTAGGAAACGGAGACCACCGTCCCTTTACAGAATTTCCGCCCTGGGCTCAGCTACTAGTCTCCCATTTTGTGTGTGCATTTAGCTAACTCCCTGTTATACCAGTAGCAGAAAAAAGTGTTGTAAAATTGCCGTTATGTTTTTCTTTACTTGAAAGGGTGAATGTTTTACTTGCCACAACACATTGTCAATGTTTCTCTCTGTCAAGAAAACGACTGACGGGGGCTGGGGATTTAGCCCAGTGGTTCTGCTGCCTGCCTCTCAAGCACAAGGACCTGAGTTCGATCCCTGGTACCAAAAAAAATAAAAAAGAAAACGTCTGCCAAACATGAGTCTGCACTAGCTATAGTTTTCAGCCCAGCATTCTTGGTAGGAAGAGGTGGAATTCCATGAAGAAGGTGGGTGGGGGCTTGCAGCTCAGGCGGGATACTCCCCCTCCAGACCACTGTCCTGCTCAGGAGGGAGACATGTCGCCAGTCACCCTGGCCATTTCCTTAAGCAGAGAATTAAAAGGGCACGCTCTCAGCATTATTATTTTTTATCAAGTGTCCGTAAGTGAAACTGGCCTTAAAACAAGCCCACCAGCCCCTGATGTCTTAGCATCAGAATGCAAATAGCTTTGCTTTTGCAAAACCCTCCTCGTGGTCCTGTGATCCCCAGAGATCTGTGATCCACATTTTTAGAATCCAGCACTAAAAATGTAGTTTATTGTAAAGTTTAAGCATTATAGAGGACCAGGATGTGGCCCACTGGTAGCGCACCTGCCTGGCAAGCACAAGGTCCTGAGTTCAATCCTCAGTACTGGAAAAAAGAAAACACTATAGAGGATGGATCCAATGACCTTCTTTATGGATTGATCTTCATCAGCTTTTAAGAGTCATTATTTCCAGAAAATTGCCAGATGCAGGATTGTTAGACAAAGGGGTATAAATATCCTAATACTAATTTCTTAGCAGACACAGATTCAGGCAAAGTCCATGTGACTCCTGAACGTGTTTTCTTAAAATTATCCAGACCAGCATAAGTCAGAAGTGACAGAAAACAACTCCAACGAGCTGGTACCTAAAAGAAGAACTCATTGGTTTTAGGAAACGACCACATAGTTTTGTTTCCAGAGCCCCCTTTATAAGTATACAATGTGCAGTATAAAAGCCATTGCTCCTCCACAGGGAAAGACTTCCAAACAAAGAAGGAAAAGGCAGCCTCAGGAAGGGCTCATTCCTGTCACCAGGTGGAGTGTGTGGGGTCACCCAGACAGGGGCCGGGTTTGGCTTTGTGGGATTTGATGTGGTGGCCAGGTCAGGCTCATAAGCAAGGACACAGAGGCTGCGAGATGACAAACACAGACCTGGGTGGGGGGCACAAGGCCAAGGGGAGAGCCGCTGCGGGCAGAGGCAGTGTGGCTGCAGCGGGTGGACGGAGGGACTTTGCCGGGTGCAGCGTGGATCAGGAGCTGGGTTGTGAGCACTGGGTTTCTTCACTGAGTTGGCCCACGACCTGGTCAGAAGAGTTTAAACAGAGAGGCCCTGTGGCCTGATGGGTTTAGGAGGCTTTGGGGGACCAGTGAGGAGAGGAAGGGCAGCGGGCGACCTGGGGAACCCTGGGCAGGGATGGAGGAGGACATTTGTGCCGGAAGCACGGTGCAGGTGCTGAGCAGAGGGCAGATTCTGGGAATGGGATTTTTCCTGGATGCCCTACTGAGAGCGTGCAGCAGGTACGAAGGGCAGCTGGAGGGAAGAAGCCAGCAGCCTGGTTTGTTAGGGGCTGAGGCTGAAGTGTGTGGCCCTGGGCACACAAGCAGGCACAGGGAGCAGGGACCTGCACTCCCTCCCTGCAGATCCAACTGCCTGCAGATTAAGGGTGCCCAGGAACACTTCAGAAACCCCCAACACTCGCTGCTCACCTAGCACTGTGCTGAGTCCCGGGAGTGAAGCGAGGTGCAGGCCAGATGGGACCCTCAGAGCAGTGCCCTCCTCACCTGGAATTCTGCAGCTAGGCATGCCGGGTGCAGCCGGGCCAGGCCTGGGCAGCATGCTCCTCAGCACCACCTCAGAGTGGTGCAGCGTGGCAGCTGTTTGCCCAGCTGTAGGAATGTTCTAGGTGGACAGGTGATCTGGAGATGGGGAAAGCACGCAGCAGCGTCTGAGTGGGTCCAGGCGACGACAAGGCAGGGTGGGTCATACAAGGTGCTGGGTGCAGGCAGATCTGGGCTGTGTGCTGTGGACATGGGGGACGTCTGTGGGAGGACAGGCTGCAGCGAGGAGAATCACCCGATAGGAGCTGTGCCTCGCTGTGTCCTGGGTGTGACCCACCAGGACTCTGTGGCCCTCGTGCAGGTTTTTGCTTTCTGTTGACCCATTCACCAGCCCCTTAGTCAGACCCACACTGAAGCCCGGACACCAAATATCCAGGGATGGAGTCTGATGGGAATTCACACAAGGACTGTCTGAGATTTAAATTTGCCAGATTGGCATGAGTCAATGTACAGGGTTTAATCAAAATCGATGGTGAATGTTTGAGTTAAAAAGTATTACAGTAAAGGACACAGTGCCGTGAATCCCCTCACAATACCCTGCCTTTCTTCAAACACACCCCGTTGAGGAGATGTGATCAAAACGACTGTCTCTGCTGCTGCTGAGCTCGAGCCAACAGAAGGGCAGCTGGTAAAAACCTGACGCTGGGTCCTCATCACCTTAGTCACCGGATCTGGCACCGTGTGACTTCTGGCTCCTTCCCAAAGTCCAAATGACCATGGAAGGGAAATGTTTTGAATCCATTCAGGACATCAAGGCAGCCAGGACAGCGCAGCTAGAGACACTCAGGAGAGAGGGCTCCAGAGCCGCTGCAGGAAGGGGTAAGGATGGTGGGAGGAGGGTGTTTGAAGTGAGGGGGAGGATTCTGAGGGAGATTCGTGACAATATGTCTTTACTGTAATGATTTCTT